CAAACGTATAATGTTTCGTACTTCATTTTGATACACAAATGCATTATATAATAATAATTGTTATTTGCAAGGATTTAAAATGGATTTAGAAGTTTCCCCGATCACAAAGGTCTCGGGATTATGCCCGGAATAGAAACGACATTTCGAAAACATAAATTCTTGGTAAATAAAAGATCGCATCTAGACGATATAACCTGGTTTCTTATTGCATATGCAAATAAATATAGAGGCATATCGGTGATCAATGACGCCATGTATGCCATTGCAAACCGCTACTCGGTTGTACAAGTTAAATTTGCGGGAAACACGACAGCGAAGGCAACCGTAACCGGAGATTGATCGAATGCGCTTTACGGCACGTGGTGCATCGTTCGCGGTGCGGCAAAGTTCATCGGTGTGACGGCGCGATGCGGGAAACTTGAGATTCTGAACGGCAGCGGGCGATCGGCGGAATCGATATACGTATATACGTACGAAACGTGACGTTCTCAACGATGATCATGAGTTATAACGTGATGCCGCTGAAGAAGCACGAGGAAATCAGTTATCGCGTTAAATGCGTCACGGTGGAGAATGAACGGGTGTTCGGCGATGTGTACGTCACCCAGCAAACGCGGCGTCTCGATCACCGATCGGACAAGGATCCTCTTCCGCCGTTTTATAGAAGAAGGAGGCGCAATCTGATACAGCAAACTTTGAACGGACCGGATTTCATGGAGCTGAACAAACGATCGACCGGAAACGACGCGAGCTCGCACCGGCAAAAGCGCTCCAAGTCGATGGGAGACGAGCCGAGCATGATTGCGTTTAATTATGAGAATCCCGACGCTGTCATTAAGAAGCCTAAGGTAAACGTTCGCACAATGCAATTTGAGATTGATCGATTCCCGGCAGAGTTTGCAAGCTTGCGATGTAGAGAGGTTTAACTTGTGAATGGAATCTACTTGTTATAGTCAAAGAATATTGACTCGAGACATCAGTCTGTGAAGTTGTCGAAGTTAGAATACACACACGTGCACTTGCCTGAGGAATCTCCAAATTGATACGTTAACAAAATTCGCAATTAAGATGTATTTTAGTAAAATATTAAAATTTTACTTAAATATACTTTCTGTTGCCTTTTAAGATTCTGTTTTATGATATGAATGGTAAGCCAAATGCTAAGAATATAGACATTTAAACTTAAAATATCTTATAAAGAAACTTGGTACAATAGCTAGCGAGAAAGTAATGGAACTAGTTATTATCGAGATGACATTGAGTAGAATGAGCGAGCTATGCACAACTTTTTTTCCTCAACTTTCTATAGTGCTGTCAGTATTACTTTAATTAATCCTTTTGCATCTAAAAGAAACAGTTTGAATACATCATCTAACGATTGCATTTCAGACATATCCACCACCCTTGCATTACTCGCTGCCACAGAAAGAAATCGTGATTACGTCGCTAGTGGATCAGCTGCTATTGGACATTTATGGCATTCCGATAGGCGACAAGGGACGTTCAGAAAGCGATTCAACGGCTTCGTCCTTGAAACCACGCCCACAACATCAATATCTGCAGAAAACGCGTCTGCTATTGAAAAGTAAGACAATTCAATACGAGCCGGGTAAATAAGTGCAGCGAAAAAATAAGTGAAAGCGCATGAAAACTTACATCCATCTTAACGATTAAAACTTCTGATAATAAGTAACAATCCACGCTTTAATATCAGCAATAAAAAATTAATATTTCTTACAATTTCTTTCTATAAAATAATAGAAAGAAAACAATATACATAGATTATAGAAAGAGATATATATAAAACGTTAAAAAATGACAAAAATATGCATATAATAGTTAAATCGTTCTAATCGTTTGCTGTGAAAAGTATATGAAGAGTATAACATTAATACATTAATATATTATAACAAAAAGTATCAGCATCAGCAAAATGCAAGATGTATCAGAAAATAGAAAAAATGGCGAATTAGTTTTTCCTTCCGCTTTTCCCTAATAACATCATTATTATTCTCGGGATTATCGTCGGTCTTGCAAATTTCTTTCAAAGATTTTTCGATATCGCTCAGTCTTTGACTCTATGAATAATGCAATCGCTTGCCATCATCGGTTGCTGCGATATAGGCAGCATGTACGGTCGTTCAATGCGTTCACAATATGCACGCTTTTGTGCTTCTTTGCGCTTTCAGAATTAACCGCGTTTTAACGGTAGAAAACAGTGACGAGGTAAACGAGCGCTTATGCGCATCCTTTGTGGTTACGTGATAACAAAAAACGAACGTAATAAAGATGTTAATAAATTCTTTGCTTGTGTTGCATTTTAAGCTGCTGGTGCTGGTTTACGGATATTAAATTTTAATTACTGGAAAGACTATATGATAACACGTAACTTTTTATTTAATAAAAATTACCAGTTAATATTACATGCAGGAAAAGATGAACTGCAGATTCTGCTCACGACTCTACATGACCACATCATTCACACAGGCGGTCTGCTTATTCGCCAGCTGCGCCGAAAGGATTATCTCACTGCCAAACGTGATAAACAGTGTGATGTCATTACAGCCTATCTACAAGCACACAGCGCGAAACGATGTAAGTAAATGCTCTACTTTAAATACTTCTGCGTTAAAGCTGCGAATCTTTTAAAATATTTAATGCACACAGTTTATTGCGAGCACTTAAATTTTATGACATAGCATTACGTACGAGATTTACGGACGAGAAAAATTCAAGTGATTTATTATTACAATTGAACTTTAATTTGTTTCATTCGTCACACTAAATTACGAGTGAATTAATATGTTCAAATCATCAATATACAAATGGAAAGAAATTTAAAAAAATATTTTTCTTATAGAATTGTTTGCGTTATTTGTACAAGAAATTCAATCCAGAAAAAATATTACTTTTTTTAAATTTTTTTTACTGTCCTCTTTTCTGAAGATCTTTGGATGACGTAGTATTTTCTAAGACTGTGAAAGGACACACGAGGGCTCTTAAGGATACTACCCACGATCAAAAATTTATAAAGTAGCGTAAATGGTAGTTCTGAGAAAAAGAATTCGCTTCTCGGACAGAAAATATGAGAACTGTTAAAAAATTCAAAAGCATTGCTAGAGCGTTTTGTATGCTTTCTGAAAAAAATGCTCCATAATTGAAACTTTTATAATATTAAAACATATATATTTTATAAATAATCAAAGCAATATATATTATAATATTACAAAGAGTTCCATTTATTTTCGAATTTGTTATCTCTGTTTAACAATATTAGATATTAAAATAATATACATTTTAATAGACATTTAATATACAAGATACATTTTAATTTAATTGTCACGAAGAAAACGATTTTTACTACCGCAAATTCCTTGTTAATTTCTAAACCACATATTCTAACAATTTTACTCGAGTTTCACTAGAAACATATATAATCTCGGGTCTCAAAAGGATTAAAGAGATTTAGTTATCTTCTTCTTTTATTAACTTTTCTCCTTAAAGTAAGTACAAAGTTCGGAGTAGTTAATTTCAGAAATAATTTTTTAGATGTGACCCTGTAACTTTAATTGAAGCTTAAAATATGCTATTAGAAAGTATTTATTAATTTCAGCTAACCTTGTTTTTCATATAAATTATCTCAATACATACATGCACGATTCTTTTATTTAATTATTCTCTTATTGTAACATTATACATCAGAGAAACTGTTCAGCGCTTTGCGTCACGGTCATTTCATTGTCAAAGTAATATTACGAATGTCATGTAAGTTAGAAAGTCAGTATATAATAGTATACCGGTCAAGTTGGCGTGGCAGTTGTCGAGAGACCATCGCGAAGAAGTCGCGGCGTCGTCACGTGGCCGCGAAGAAACGAGCTTTCATATGCGACGACGCGGTGATCAATAATTAGACTTTGCCGCGTCCGCCAGTGCTAGAGACGCATGCTCCGCATACGATACGCGCGGACGGAGTTCCGACGTGGCGTCATTGATAAAGTTTCGATGCTGTTGCGTCCGCCGGCCGGATATATACGCAGAACTTTTCTCATCGGTCCTCGTGAGTTACCGGTGAGAGTTTAACCGGTGCGATGAACTCGAGGAATAAACTTGGCAATAAAGAGCTCACGCGAGACGAGACGGCGTATTCTAGTCGCAAAGGAGCAATTTCGTAGGCTTTCTTCTCTCGAGAAACTTTGCAGCGACACTTTATCGTCGCTTTACACGAAGATGTACTGTATTTAACGATATAAACATTCGATTTAGCAAAGCATTAACTGTTTTATGCCAAAATTTTATTAGATTAACTGATAAAGATTAAATGTTGTCTATAAAATTGAAATGCAATATTCATGTCAATCATAATTCATGATCAGTAATCAATAGATTACAAAAACATAAGATTATCGTATTTTCTTTATCAGAAACGTTTTTAGATTATATTTATTATATTTATATATAAAGAGTATTATATTTTATTTTATTATTTTTATATAAACTAATTTTAGGCTTCTTTCGTTTTTCATGTAATTTTATTACTAATCCTTGAGAAAGAAAGAATTCAAATGCGTAAATCACTTTGTATCATATTGAGCGAATGCACACACACTTGACAAATTATTTTTAGCAAATGACATCTTTACTACAGTTGATCAGATCGTCGGCAGCAATTTATTGATCTCACGTATTTCTGAACGACCTATCTCATTCCTGCCGGATAAGATAGATTCGATACCTCGACCCAACGCGCAAATATTACCGATGAACTTTCCGTGCCATTAACCCAGCAACGTTAAGAGCACAACGTCCTCGTGCAAAATGTACATGTAATAAGTTACACGACGCGGAAGATCGTTGATGATCGAAACGATTATTATGAAAACTGGCTGAATCGCGTTTTCCATAATGCAACACTTATCACGCTAGATTGCTCACAATTATGAGCAATTGGTCACGAATATTCAAATCTTTAAATGTGTAAACACTTAAGCTAATGTAGGGCAGAATTAACAAAAAATAGAAAAAAAAATATGTTAAATGTTAATTCATGTTAATCGCCTTGAGATTTTATTTTTATTTCAAAGTAAAATTCCAACTTAAATAAAAATATAATTTAAAAGATTCTTTTTTATCTCTTACTTCAAATTTTCAACTCCATTATCTTTCAAAAGCAGTTAGCTCAGAAGAACTTAAAGTTCATGCTCTTACTTTTCAAGATATAATCGTATGCAATTGCGTGTAAAGTACGAAGCCAATTTCTATAAATATCACTCTATTATTTCACTTTAGCAATCAATTGTCTTTGCAAGCGCAATATTTTGGTTCCTATTTTTGTGATCAATGTCTATTAAAATCCATATTCGTTGATTATGACCATGTGACTAGCAACTGTACGATGTTAATAGGAATAAGGTATGGATCAAATTTGATTGAATTGGGTCGAACTAGAGAATATATCGTATTATCGATAATGATTATCGACTCAAGATTTACATCACAAGACTCAACGCTTACATCACAGAACTCCATTTCAATGTTAACAGTTAGAAATATCATAATATTGTTAAAGCATATAAATCTTTATTTATTTTATTTCTAAATATAAAAATTATGGTTGCATTCAGTTCTTTCTATACTTTCTTCTTATTTAAACAGCTGCGTTAAACGAATGTGATAAGGTTTCATATGTGATAAAGTGGTACAGATACGCGATTCAGCAGACATATCATCCGTTCGATTTCTCGTAACGGTGTTAACTATTTTCAGTGACCCACAAAAAGGTGAAATCAATAAAGATGTCAATTTTTAACCCGCGAATATGCTCATTAATAAACTATCTTACTCTCTACAATAAACTGTTCTTTCAGGGATATATCAAGAACCAAATAAATGAACAAATTAATCATTTCAAATTTTAAATAGGAATTGCATAAATGCTTTTTAAAATTTATTGCGCAATTCATATTTCTCATTGATTTTATAATAATAATTAATTTTTTCATCAAAAAGTCATAACATTTTTCAATTTCATAATTCAAATTACTAAATGTGAAGCCACATATCATTTTGAGAAATAAACCATCGCAAAGATATTCGATTTTGCATATAAGCAGACACGTACAACGAAGTTTCTATAATAACGTGAGACCTTGAAGGTTTAATCCTCACGTTTACTTGATCTAATAATCCCTTGCCATACGAGGTTACACATTAGATAAACTCGCGTTATGTTGCTCCACTTAATCGAGGCATGTAGCAATTAATCTTCTCACGGATGAGTTATTCGGCGTACTAAAAATTGAATTGCCCAAGTATGATCCGCTACATTGTGCGCAATGATATTTGTTATTAGTTGTAAACTGAGTGTGTAATCAAAGATTAAGTTTTTCAACTTGAGGTGGCAGCCTGAAGAAATTCTATTAAACTGTTGAATTCTATTGAAGATACTAATTGATAAATATGGTTTTCCAATAAACTACATTAATTAAATATTTATCGCTCGATGTTATAAATTATCAGTCATTGATAAAATAAATAATAAATTAATTCACAAATAACATAATTTCCCTAAATATTACTAAAAATATTATACAAAGTTTTGTAAATATACTGTACGTCTGAATTGTATGTCGATTCGACTGTCAGCAGGATTTAATATTTTGACATTTAATCTCACATGTTGAATGGAAGACGCATGTAATTTTCTGAAGTAAACATAAACGTAAAATGACTATGTCATGTAAAGTAATTCCATGTGACGCTATGAAGAAAAATGGTTTAAACTAAAAATTTGGTAACGTTTGAAGCGCTTTATAACTATACATTTATATAAAAAAAAACATTTTCGTAAAAATTTTTCAGATATTTTCAAAATTTATCTAAATCAAAGGGGGTCATCGAATCAATTATGAGTGTTTTCTTTTTAAAACAAACAGATGCACGGGGGTAAAACGATGCATATTGGGAAGCTGCATGCGGAGCGCATGCGTTGTGACGGGAGTGGCACCACGTAGAATCGCTACGGCCGCTACAGGGTTGGAAGGACGTTCGTGGAACGACGACGGCAGTAGTGCCTATTGCAGGGTTCCACGAGGCGGCAGCCGCCATCCCCCGCGGCAACCCCCGTCATCGTTGTTACGTCGCGGGGTTATGCGCGCGCGCACATCACTGTATCCGTTGTCGTTCAGCTGACTCGACGCACTCGTCGCACGAAAACGCTCCTCCAGGTGCTCTGGACAGCTGTAGAAGCACCGTCGCGACGCCGACGCCGCAAAATTTTCGGATAATCGAGCATAGTGTCGAGAGCGCGAGCCTTTCTCGGTCCAGAGAAGCGTGCAGTCGAAGTAGCGTTCGCGTTTTCGGAGTTTTCCGCAAAATCGTGCCGCGCGCAAAAGGCATGCACGTTGAGGTCGTTCGCTCGTGCTGCATTCGTGCTCATAGTACGCGTATCAAATGTGCATCGAGGTGGTGTCGTGCTTCGTAATCGACGACGACGATTGCCGGATAGCGCGCTGTCGATTCCCGTGTTAGAGATGATACGATCCGATACGCTAATTACGCTCCGTCGAAGTGTCAAAGTACTGCGTTTGTCTAATGACCTCTCGCGCGAGTAAGTATGCGTTCAACTGTCTACGATGGATCAGGTCGTGATTGGTGCACCGCGAACGACGATGCGGTGCACGTTTAAATTCTCGGCCGCATTACAAATGTGTGCCTTTAGCGGAAAATTCTATACGTCACATATTAGGTCAATTTCCCTTTCGTGCAAATAATAAGACTGCTCTCGGCTTTTAGGACATGTATTCAGCTTTAAAAAAAATTAAAGAAAAAAAGAAAAAAGTAGAAAGAGATAGAGAGCGCAGCTGAAGAATAAATGAACTTTTCAACATATTTAACAATCAAAATTATGTCGCAAAACACTGAGCTTTAAGTTTTATGCTGTATTATAAAACTCAGAATAAATATAGAAAATATTGCAAGAGTTTATTTATCAATATTTCCAGATTATTTTCTTTCCGCAAAGTTATCGAAGTGAATTCTTCTTCAATTTCTATCCTACATATTCTTGGAGATGTCAGATCGCATTTCGATTGATGTCAAGCATTTGTGCCATATGAAATGATTGACATAGGTTGCTGGCATCTCGTCAAGGAGATACGAGGGTTCGAAATTGCCGAAAGCTGCGGTCAATCGATGCGCATTTTCGGATATCCGGCGGGGAATTAAAACACAAGATCAAATTGGAAATTCCTCAAAGTTCGTTCCATGTTTGTTGCTCCCAAGCGATAGATTTAACATTTTTTACAATGATAAAAAACTAATGTCTTTGATTTACGAACATTGGTGCATACATCCTCGATTTCTTCAGATCGCGGAAGATTCGATTCTAATTCTGCCAGATTTATCTGCCGGATTTATTAATCGGTTTAATATTTATTTTTAGACATATCACGAGGCGGAAGCGACGGCGTGTAAAATTGTGATCATGACAACCGTGACTGATTTAAAACACACACGCTTCTCACTGCTTATGCTGCATGCACAAGCGGAATATTTCTATGTAAAGAATTGAGAGTTCGCAAAAAAGCTCGAGTCGTTTTTTTATTCAATGATCTTATAAACTCTCGTTATAATTGACTCTAATTTCTCGATACTCGATGTTTAAAATATACGATAATCTGGCGTAACGTTTGAGTGTTAAGCATGATTGCAAAATAAATGGCTGAATATAAATTAAGTGGTAAAGCGATAGGTTAAGAGCTGCATACATCTTAATTGCATTGTAATCGACCAGTCGCGATCGGATTAAACGTTCGAGCATTTTATCGGTTTCATCAACCGCTGCCGAGGTAAAAATCGATTTTGTTATCTGTTCCGGCCTTATCAGCGTTATCTGTATTTTACCGCGAACAAACCAGCACGCGGTTTTACATAGAGCAGTAAAAATATTACGTAAACCATATATTAAAGTAAAATACAATATAATTAGCAGATATGTATTCGATAGGACAATGGGATTGTACGAGGGAATTTTCCGCAATCTGCAGAAACGCACGTATATATTTCTTGCGTAATATAGTGCGTGGGCATCTACATTGTGTGATGCTCGTAACAGGTGGTACAGCTGTATACATACGTCATAGAAAGAACGGAGAGGAACATTTTCACGTTATGTTGGATTTCTAGCGGAAGAAATTCTACTTGACAGAAAATTAGAGAACATTGTTAATTACATTTTGTTAATGTTACTCGTGAAATATTGCAGTGTTTTCACATCACTGGCGCATTAACGCTCTACGAGCGTTAATTAACTCAATAATACGTTAGATAATATTATGTAAACTTTCCCGTACAAACCCATATTACTTCAATGCTTTATAAGTATAATAAAATTTGCTCTTGCTAAATGGAGTCATGATTGTTTCATGCGCGATTAAGTAGACGGATCGATCGGCTTTTCAGAGTCGTAACGAAAAGATTGCACATTCGAACGGAACGTCGCGATCCGCCACAACTAAAAGGACCATCTCGAGAGTAAACCGAGGGACGACCGATCATGAATCACGAGAACGGTTGAGAGCAGCGTGCGCGCGGTACAATACGAAGCAGGTGGGACGAAAGTGAAACGATGAAGAAGAGAGAGTGGCGCTTCTAATTGGAGAATGAACGGATTTTTCAACTCCCTCAAAAACCTCGCGTCCGGTGCCGCGTATGCTACCGGCTCTACCTCGAGAGACGAAGAGCTGGAAGGTGATGGGACAACTTCTCTACATCCATCTCGCATGCTGATCTCCTTTACGTTTACGCGCATAGAATTATCAGTTCTGTATGTTGCTCTACTCCTGTACACCACGCGCATACACACAGCGTAGCGCAAACGAAATTCTGTTAAGTATTGCTGCAAGGCATAAACCACAACACATCTAAGTACTGTAATGTTAATTTGATACACACTCAAGGTATCACGTAGCTTAACGCGCTTTGTCTTGCACGACCAGAGAAGACGACGTAATTAGAATCTTTTCATTTTTCCGAGTATAAAATAAGATATAAAGTAATTAAAGAAGCTTACTTTGTTGCTGTGTAAATTTAAAGGCGGATAATTTCATAGAAAATTTGATAAACAGCAAGATAACAACATCTTACGTAAACAAGAGCCTCTTGTTTATAATATACTTAAAATACTTTAAGGATAGAATTATATTTTTGCTGTGGATTAATTATTTAACAAATATCCTTTACGTCAGTCTTTCTCTACGCGAGAAATCAAGATATAAATAAGCATAAATGGAATGGCAGCAATTCAGCCTATTCACAAACAAGATTACAGCATTACGGTGACACGCATTTCTCGCAGTTTTCGCGCGAGACATAATTTCTATTTACAGCTCGAGCATTCTATGTTTGTCAACGCTAGAGTATCCATAAAATTTAGCGCGTAGCACATTTAATTTGTAACTAACTCGACGAGCATTGTATCACTATGCCATTCCACAGTAGCGGTAAAATTTATAGCGGTGTGACTAGGTCCTTACGTGTAATTTGTAAGCCACTTCAACCATAAATTGCATGCAGCATACACACGAGCCAGTCTTGTGACAAAGCTGTCGAGGAGAAATTTGGTGAAATGTAGAAAAGCTTTTGCTTGTTTTATCGTAGTGACACATAGCAAATATTTTGCTTGTCGTTTTGTGCGATTTTCAGGAATGTAAATACGACAACAAAAAATAAAATAAAAAAAAAAATGTAACACAAAAGTAGCGATAGGGAAAAGTCTAACGAAATATGTTCAGAACACGAAAACACAAATAGTTGCAGCAGTAGAAATTATATCGATTTTACGCATCAGCGCATAGCTGGCGCGTTTTATTCAACTCATTAATAGAATTTCATCGTGATCGAGCTCACGCTCGCTCGCTCGTAGATGCTGCGAGATGACAATAAGCAATATTTCTGTCGCACCGATTTGTTCGCATGGAAATCTAATACTCTCAATGCATGTCCAGCTAACACGTGCGCTTTTGCCGACATGAACGCGTGGATAATTACATCCTAGAAATTTCCACAAGATTTTTCTACTTAAACTGTATCTTGGAGATTCTTCAGTCGGGGTTGTCATGGAAACGATCATGCGATAACCCCTTCGTTAATGTTAAAGGCAACCGAGCTTACATTACTTCACGGCTTCATCAGTCGTTCGTATGCAGTCTAACAGGACGTGCTCCGTTATAACTTTGAGAGTGATATACTCGCTTGTATTGATTCAAATCGAAACGCTAGAACATTCACGCGTTTATGTTAATTATCTAAGTCTTCTCATATAGTATTTTGGCTCAAGTAAACAATTATTTCTGCTTGCGGCAATGTAAAGTAATATGTTTTCTGTAAAATATATCGATAACTTATAAAGAAAGCTGCAGTTCGAAAGTGTCATGTGTCAGTTCAGATGTGTGTGATGGTAAACTGTTATATTGGTAAAGAGAATTTCATGGATCTTTTTTTTTTTACATTTCAGTCGAAGATACGAAAATGAGATTCAGTTTGACACCGCAACCAGGGGAGAGTGGTTTTATACAATGGCTAGACGCGATGAAGAAGGTTGCCAAATTGCAAGGAGGCATGCCGCCAGAATTTCGGAAAAGGGTAAGTGTTTTTGGGATTTTATCCGCGATAAATTATTATTACGGATAAGAGCTGCGTGTTAAACATTTAAATTGTTTGTTGCTACGGATAAATAAGAATAAATTGACGTTTTTCTACAGTTGTGGCTGACGCTGGCGGAACGTCATCTGGAACAACGCGGCGTAGATTGGAAGCAGGCTGAGAAAGTCTGTTTCAATGAGTGGAGTAATCCAGACGACGAGGAGCTCGGCATACAAATTGTAAAAGTACGTGTCTGCACAGTATTGTTTAAATACGCAGCCGGCTGCGTAAAAACTGCAATGTAAACGACTACGTCTGCCAAGATCTTGAAAGTCTTTTTTTTTGCAATGTTGTAACAAAATTTAAAACTGAACGTTGCACTCAATAATGCTTCTCTATCTCTTATTTTTTATTTTATATTTAACATTTGTCGATGAGAGAATTTTGTCATTCTAAATTATAAACAAGAAAAAAAAAAACAGAAGCTTTCACAAAAATAGTACATTTCTTTTTCTCGCATTTCAATAATATCATCTCAACGAGACGTTTAGTTTGTCATGTTATCTTCGAAATGAAAGGTGACCCGATTAATTCTGTGAGAACATTTCTAGACGCGCAGCCTCGAGAAGAGCATTTACTGAGACAGCAACGCATTTACTTCGATGCGCTTTACTACTCTTGGCACGAAAACGTGTTGAGCTACAAACATAACTCGGTGTGAATGTTTCAACTAATTAAACGGCGTACAAAGCTAAAAATTATTTGCAATTTATAATACAAATCGAATTAATGCGTTGTTAAAAAAATGTCGAGCGCGGCATGATTAGAATAAGTTGACGCTCTAAAAATATCCGCGATACGATATCTATTTGATCGCATCCGATTATATTAGCTTCGCGTACACTTATAGAGTGACCGACTTCAACATTATTATTAATTATGCTCAATTAAACTAGAATCGTTCATCACTGTAACGGAGACTAATTCTTACCGGTTGCTTTTGTAATTAACGTCCGCCTACGTAAATTACATTTTAGCGAAAATCTTGCGGATGACATTTATCGCTCCACGATCCTTGTTCATTAATAGGTATATTTTTATCAGATCAACGGTTCAGCAGACCCCCCCGATTACTTATTCATTCATAAACTTGCTTCACCAAAATTTAACGAGAAGTCTTGAAATAAATTATAAAATATTAAATTCGCTAAAATTACATTACATTACTTTAATTATACTGCCTGTTCAATAAGGTTCGAAGAACCTAGATGATCTTTAACTATTTCGCCGAAGTAAGAGAAATCACGATTCGCAGGATCTGCACAGAACAGGCTGCAGCCTGTTCTGCGGCGCTGCTGGCCGGGACAATCAAGCGGTGCTACGTCGAGTCTTGCTGGGTTTCGCCCGCTGGAACAAGACTGTCGGCTATTGCCAGGGCCTGAACGTTCTAGCCGCTCTCGTCTTACAAGTAATGGATCGCGCGGAGTCCTCGGCTGTGAAGGTGATGATATATTTGATAGAAGGCGTTCTACCGGAGGGCTATTTCGCCGATAATCTACGAGGCCTCTCCGTGGATATGGCGGTGTTCCGCGATCTCCTGCGCTCGAGGTTGCCGAAGTTGTCTAAGCACCTCGAGGCGCTTCAGACCGACGCGAAGGATAAAGCGACGGGTAAGTTATCAGGTTGATAAAACAAAAACTCGCGCAAGAATGAGGGTAGGAAATAGAGAGGCGCGCGTGGCTGCGAGATATTATACCGGTCCCGTCGGAGACTGTGTATATTGCTTCGTTGAAAGTGTCTGATAGTTTCGACGTGTAAAATGCCTTTTTGATAGAAAATTTATGCGACACTTATAGATGCTGTAATAATAAATTTTTAGTGTTTTCATATCAATATTTCTATGATATGAACATTTTCTTTCAAAATATCTTTCAGTTATAACTTTGCGTAAAGTTTTTGTTGCTTTCTTACTGACGTCAAAAAGTAAGATAATTGTTTTCAATGTATGCTGCAAGAAAAAAATATAATACGGTTATAATAAGAAAATAGGAACTTTAAAGTTAGCGCTTGATTTTGTTTTATATAAATGCTGCTTATTTCATAAAAATTTGTTAAATCGCGAAAAAACATAATTTACGACGATACTGATAATCTCAAAATAAATTAATTTAATTTGATTCCATTGTCGCTATCTCATCGCTCTCTTGATTATTATGATAGATAATCTTGCGTTGTTTTTCAGGAAGTAGCTACGAACCGCCACTCACGAATGTGTTCACCATGCAATGGTTCCTCACACTTTTCTGCCACTGCTTACCGCAAGAAGCGGTGCTTCGTGTCTGGGATCTGATATTTCTCGAAGGTGATGAAGTACTCCTTAGAACGGCACTCGCTATCTGGGAAGGCCTCTCCGAGTGAGTTCGCAATGCAAATTAAGTTCATTATTGAAATTACATAACAGAATTACGAGTCTGCTATTACTTCAATGATCGTACGCAACGAATAAATAAAATAATTATTCCTGCAGTCGCATAATGACCGTAACATCGGCAGATGAATTCTACAGTATAATGGGAGTGCTGACGAGAGAGATGCTAGAATTCACCGACACAAACAATCTCATAAAGGTTGAGTGAAATTGATTATACAGTGTTTGATAATGTGATGATATAATCTCGTGCACCAGAAAATTGCGTACTGTTTTTCTGCTTTTGCGATTATATTATTCGTTATCAAACACCCCGTGTATCCACTGTAACACTGTAAATAACAGAATCTATTTGCGAATCGTTTTGATAGAACATTGTTAGCATGGGACCCTTACATGGTGTGACAAGTTTGAGAGAAAAGCATCGATATAACATCACCCCGTGGGCGCGCAAACTGAGCGACGATGACGACAGCGAGACAGAAGAGGACGAGAGATTGGCTGTGGCAGCTGCCATGTTCAGTATGGCTCAACGTATAAAAAAAGGTGATTGCCATTAATAAATTTGAAAAATGTTTCAATGATGTTAAAATAAAAAACACACTTCCGTTTTATCGATTTTACATTAGCTACTCTATTCACAAGCGTAAAACGCCGCAATTCCGCTAGCTTTATAGATCAAATTTAATTTTATATATAAATATTACTTAATAAAATATTTTTAAAAATTTGATGGTCGGCTAATTTAACGAATATTTGCTATATTTTTGTTTTGGAAAATAACTCGTAAGTCAAATTTTTAATGCTTTGTAAATATTATTCCAAATAATAAACTAAATAATTATTATTTTTAATTGCAATCAACCATGGAGAACATCAAAAAAAGAAAGATAAAATTATTATAATGCGAAATATCGACTATTTGTTACAAGAAATTATCAATTTCAGATCGTTTACCGTCGACAATAGGAGCGCTACAAGCCATGGCACCCAGCAGCGACCGAGAACGCCTTGCTCTAGATATTAGTACGCTGAAGCAGCAATATGCAAAACTACGAGAACGGCAACGGCAAGCACACATAATACTTTCCGGTAATAGCAAATGAGCAAGATAAGCGCTACATAATCTTAAAGTAATTGCATACTATAAAAATCAAAAGAGATTTACATTTCAAAAATTGAGAAATGATAAAAACATAGTTAAAATAGTAAATTAAGTGTATTTAGCTGAGGTGTATTTAGTGAAATTGATATTTTAGAAATGGGATTTAATAATCTTATTACGTATACAATATTAATGCAAATTTGGATATTTATATATTTACATATTGACATGTTCTCCTTAATTTATAGTATGCATAGATTTATACGTTGCATAAGTTTGTTTAGTTAAATGCGGAAGGGCAAATCGTTATTAAATTGCGACCTAGTTGTATTAGATATGGTTTACATATTATAATGTAATATGTATACGTATTATGTTGCAGCAATGGTCCCATAACAATTTCTCTATTGTCAATATTATTTCAAATTATCGAAAGGTTACCATATATATTCATATGTATATAACGTTAGCGTCACACGAAAATTGGATGCGCATGTTCCTCGCGTTATACCGACGAAACTGACTCGTGCGTAGGTTTAACAAAATTACCGAAAGCTTTATGAAGAACAAGACACATGCATGTAATAGGATATTTACTAGTCTGTTGCCACCGTAAACTGATCACTCCATATTCATGAATGGGATTCGCTGATCCTACGTCCGCGCTTACGGCTAGATACTATCGTTATATTTCGATCCGGATTAAAATATATACGACAACAACGCCGTGACCTTTCGAGACGTTATGACCTATCACGTAAAAACCGCGGGTTGCAACACGCTTCAACTTGAAGTAACCACAGCTTTTTGACGGACGAATCAAACTTAAATGACCAACAACGTTTAATTGGTATATGTCAATAAACTTCAGAGCAAAATTTTCGTAGAAGACAAAACTTTCCAAACCTGAATCTACTCTAACAAGTAAACGTATAAAATAAATGATAAAGAGAATGTATCTGACAATAAAAATAAGGCTAAATAATTTCTAATTCACAACAGAATTCAAGATATAAATCTATTTTTAATTTTATGTACAATAAAATACATTTAAAGAATCGGAGAATACACATATATCAAATACTTATTCTTAATATTTATTTTACACGTGTATAATCTGATTTGTTAAATGTTCCTTGCAATACACGACGCACAAAATTATAAATAGAATTCTATCGTGAATTCTGACGCAAATTAGGAACTATCTAAAATGGGCTTAAGGGTACAATTATGTAAATTAAGAGTGACGCTATAATAAGATTTTAAAAGCTTATCTCTACGACGAGAACGGCAATTTGCACAAAAATATAGTTTTATATAAGAGGCAGGAAGAATTATTTTCCACTACTTGCAGTTATGAAAAATATTTTGGTACTTTTAGGGTTGTCGCTCGATCGATCTTGTCTGATAGCAAAATAAGCACCATCGTTATTCTAACCGATTCTATATCTGACGCAGCCGCGTGCGCGAGACAGACCATGGTACCTACGCCTGCTTCCACAGCCATGAATCATCTGTTAGTGGGCAAAAATGCCCTCGTGAGTGGAAAGAATCGACCACTGAGTCTACCGTCTGCCACTGCCACATCGAAGTTACGGCCGACGGCCCTTCACAGCCCGAAAAATCGCAAAGAAAGACAAGGTGTCACGCTTCACTGGAAAGATGCGAAAAGGCCGAAACAGAGAGCCGGCGACGCCGGTGGTAAGTATAATTAATTTTCAAAAAACTATCTCGTAGAAGAGTCTTAAAAATGTTTGAAAATATTGTACAAATATTTTTAAAAATATTTTTGTGATGTAAAATCTTTTTTGTGATGTAAAATATTTTTGTAAAAAGTAATGTAAAAATATTTTTTAAAAATATTTTTACATCACTTTTTGCAAAAATGATGTAAAGAAACACGATTTGCTTTAACATACATAACATGTATTATATTCGTAATATGAAATATGTAACGCAATAATCTGAAAAAAATGTGTAAAAATAATAATTAAAAAATCAATTTTTCAAACATATGCATGATGTTTGTTATAAATTGTGCAATGTTATAAATTATCAATGCTATAAATGTATTTTTTTTTTTTTATAATTGAATAAGCAATTTGTATCTGTACTATTTTTATTTAAATAGCTTTAAACAAAATTTTTTAAACTCGAAACAGAATTTATATAATTATTTACATTAAATTTGCGATAAAATTTACTACATTGATCTACTCATGGCAAACATATCAGCAGAGAGTAAAGTAGAACTACCATCTATCGATTTCGCGGTGTAAAGTGCTCATGGTACTCCAACATCCAACCCACAGGATAAGTACAATCAACCCCCTGTTTTACGCTCGATACTACAAGCGAGTATAAGTATTGATGCAGGTGTGGCAGGTAGAGTCAATATTCCATACCTTTTCTTGCAAAGTGGTTGTTTTATTCTGAATTATTTCCTTTTCAACACGATTCGACATTAGAATTTAGTACTTACAACGTATCTAATACTTGTGGAATATTAACCATTTATCGATTAATAATTTTCAACGTTTGTAACGTTAATTTATCTTCGTCTTTAAGATTAATGGCTTTTTTTTAGAACTATTCTCAATAATCTCTGCTAGAAGTAATAATTAATAATCACTGTTTTACTAATATTTCCCTTTCTATGTTACAGATGCCGACGCCTTTGGTACAGCATTTGTACAATCGCCGCCCGAAACGTCATCTGTGACGTCACCTAACCGGATTGACAGCGATAGTGACAGCACGTCGACGGAGCTGTGCGACGAGCCGGATCGTCTGAGCGACGTCGATAGCGAAGAGCTTACGTCAGCGTCCGATTCTTACGTCATGGCGACGGACGACGAAAAGCATGCTTGCGCGGAGGGTTCGTCGACCTCGTCGAGTACACCCGCGCGCTCGTACATCAAGAGCGAGCAAATGACGACGGTCGAGGAACCGCAGACAGGTCCGATCCTCGGAATCGAATGCGTCGACAAGTCTCCGTCTTTGACTGAAATCTCCATCGCCAAAATCACCGATCAAATACGAAGACTCTCGGCGGAAGATGACAATAATACGACGGTTTCTCAAATACCGAGCGTGCGCGACAACGACAATGTGCTGTCGACTGGCGATTATTCGGTCGAGAGATCACAGGCAAAGGAACCGGATTCGCAGCCGCAGGATTCCGTCGAATACGTGTCAAGCGAAATCGTGGACGCGACTAGATCGTCAAAGATTGTAAATAGTTACGATTACTTAAGCTTCAAATCTAATCTCGTCGATGAGAAGACGGATGATATCCTGATGAACAGAACAGATCGACTGAAAGATATTAAAGAAGAAAAAGAAATCGTACGGGCTAATAGTAAAGAAATTATAGGCCTTAAAACGAATGCAATGGAAACTACTGTGAGTAGTATATCACGGGTTAGTCCTGAAGAGCAAACGAACATTTCTTTAGATAGAAATTATGATAAATTTGTCACGTCTTTAGATACAAACGATACCTTCGAATCATCCCTGAAATTTTCCAGCAAAATTTATCTGGATGGAAAAAACGATAACAATTCGAATGACAAAGATATCGCGAGCAGCGGAGATTCGGACATCACAACAGAATCACTATCCTTTTATTCTAAACGATACGTTGTAGGCCACCTTCCAATTTCGCCGGCAACAATGGATAGCAAGCTAACGAAGCTGTCGCACGAGATTTACAATGTTGCGGTGAACCCGGAAAATCTGACGAGTCCCGACGCGAGTTTAAAGAGAGATGCGTTTAGCGACAAGCAACGAACGGCGTCGACGAAATCGTACTCCGATTTGAAGAAAAGCCCGAAAACTCCGGAAAGCACAAAGTCATTCAGTTCCGGAGAGACGATGGGTCCCGATTCGAAGCCCTCTAGTTTGACCGTCAGTCCGAGAACACCGATCAAATCGGATTCACGCGACTTCTCGATAGACAAATCGGCCTGTTCGTCCGTCAGCTCAGATTCCAAGACTCTCGTTCTTCTTTCGGTAAGCTCGGATATTGTGCACGAAACTTCAAAGCTGACCACGAAAAAAACATCGTACGAGAAATCAAGCCCGTCAACTCCGATCAGTACGGATTCGCTGAGAAATAAATCCGAGTCAAGTCCGAAGTTTGTGATCAGCAGTTCCAGCGATTCGTGCAGTCCGTGCAGACAAAATCAAGTCTTCCGAGCGGTCATTCAGTTCTGATCTGCAGTCGCCCGTAAGTGCCAATTCCATAAAGTACACCGCAAACTACGGCAAACGAGGCCAGGATAATCTATCAGATTCGCCGATTGACCTGAGCACCGCAACCTCGCCATTTTATCCCATCGCGAATCCTAATCAGAAAACGCCCTCGCCGTACAGTGTGAATAAGCGAAGAAGCAGCATAGAGAGCGCCGACACGTCACCCGATCAGAAATCGATCAGCTCGAAGGAAACAACTAAATTCTCGGGATATCAAACAAAACTAGATCCTTCGCCGAAATCAATTGAAACCAAGGAAAGTGAAATTGCCGAACGGATTTCCG